TACTTGGCACACCCAAAGATGAAAGAAAGCACATTAAAAAAAAACTAGAGGTTCAATTTTCACTGCATGAGCCACACGTCACATACGCCCTTAAGCCATTTTTTTTCCTCCTAGGATGCCTGTCGTCATGAATCAGCTTTTGGGGGGCGGGGATAAGAAGCCCTTGTAAGCAATTTTCTCTCATATGTTGTATGTTGTGAAAAGATGGTCATTCCACAGGACAATGCTGTGACTAAACAGGCAAAGCAGTAGCACCACACATGGGCCCTGACTGAGTTCTGGCTAATGCACTTCCTTATCCATCTCCCTGCTAATGAGCCTGGGAGAGCAGCAGAAGACGGCTCAGTGCTAGGGCCCCTGCGTCCACGTAGGGGACCAGAAAGGAGCTTCTGGCTCCATCCTGGCACAGTCCTGGATGTTGAAGTCATTTGGGGAGTGAACCAGTGAGTGGTTCTCTTTCTCTCTCTGTGACAGTGTGTCTTTTTCTCTCTTTAACTCTCTGCGACTCTGCCTTTCAAATTAAATTTGTTTTAATACTTGGCTCAAATCAACAAAATTTAATGTTATCATGCAGCAGTTTATAACAAGTTACCTAGGTGCACATATCAAGATCTGGACGGTTACTGTGTTACAGGATAAATGCCTCTAACTTGGTGTCTGCTTGTAGTCCAAAGAAGTACTTCTGGAGATTAGTCATTTGGGGGTAGAGATAAGAGGGGAACAAAGTACAAGTGTCTTCCTGATTCTATGATATCCATCCCAGGGAACCTGCCCTGAATCTGGCAGTGGGGAATATGACTCCTTTTCCCTTTTGTTCCCCCATATGGCAATTTCCTTCTAGGTTACAAATCACGAATAAGAGTGTATTTGTGCTTGGCAATTTCTATTTGTCCTTTTCTATTCCTAGCAGAATGAACCTAAGGACAAGCTAGAGGTCAAAGTTGCTTCCTGAAGCAGTTGAGAAAAACTCTGTCCTCTGGCCTGCTCCTTTACCAAAGTAGCCACAACAACCCATTCTGGGATACAGTTCTGGTATTAGTTCTAGCTCCCGGGCCCTTCAGGACCGAGTGTGGCATGGTTACCCCACCGTTCCTAGCTCCAGAGTACTACAGCATCCCTTAGCTCTATTTTCAGCCTCCTTTCTTTAAACTGTCATCAGTCAGCAAGTCTGTGCTGCCATCTGCTTCCTCCTGGGACCAGAGTGAAGGGTTCTTACTTAGCCTTCAGCAATGGGCAATGGTAATGTGAGAACTATAAATAAGCTGGAATGGATACTCAGACCAGTGTTCCAGAGGCTACATCTTTTGCCTCCAACTCAGTGCACAAGAAATAGAAAAAAGTACGCAAATATCAGTATTATGGTGGAACCTAAGTACAAAGGTCAACATTTACTCTGCTTCAAATGCAATCTCCAATTACTATCAACCTGTTCGTTTCATATGATGAAGTCTACCATTAAAGGCTGTAGAGTGCAAGTACTGATTCTCCTGTCTCCAGTCCCTTGCATGGAGGCTCCCTGACACAACTGCACTGGTTAGCCCCTACTCAGTCACTAATGCCTCAGGTTGGAAATCAATTTTTCAAGGCCAAATAGCCTTTTGATGAAGGGTCAGGAATTAATACCATATCCCTTAACATGAAACTCTCTCTCTTAAATACTGTTTGTGGGGGCCAGCATTGTGATATAGTCAGTAAAGCTGACATTTGGAATTCCAGCATCCCACGTAGAGGCCAGCTCCTGTGCCAGCTGCTTCACTGTTGATCCAACTCCCTGCTAATGCCCTGGGAAGAAGCAGGGGATGATCTAAGTACTTGAGTTCCGGCTGCCAAGGTGGCAGTCCCGGATTTAGTTCCTGGCTCCTGGCTGTGGCCTGACTCAGCCCTAGCCATTGTAGCCACCTGGGGAAGGAACCAGTGGCTGGAAAATCTCCACCTTTTTCTCTATCCATTTTTCTATGTAACTTGAACTTTCAAATAAATAAACAAACCTTTAAAAGTACTGCTTGTGTTTACATACATAGCATGATGCTATTACCACTGCTGTCGGTATTGTATACTATGGCAATTTCATCTCAATTATAAGCAACAGGTCCTCCTAAGTTTTTGATGTTAATCTGCATGCAGCTTGTTTTTATGACCATTCTACCAGTAATGTCCAATCATCTGATACACATCATTTTCAAAACACTGTGAATACAAGGGATCTTTCAAAACATTCATGAAAAAGGAACTATGGAAAAAATGCATGGATCACAATTTTTTTTTTTTTTTGCACCAAAACTAACTTCCAATTCCACCTTCCAAAAACTTTAAGTATACTCACACTACTTATGGTAAGATAATCTGTAATTTTAAAATGTCAAGTTCTTGCACAGCTTTAGATTTCTCAGCGATAGAGTACACTAGAGTTCACCTAGAGTTTTCTGCTTACATGAAATACTGACATGTTATGAAAGTACTGGTTTTTTGTTTGTTTTTAAACATTGGATGACATTTACTATTCCTTTTGAAAAATGTCTTTGTCATGTTTTGTTTTCTCTGCTTCTAGTTTATGTCTTTTAGTTTAATTTCACCATATGAATTTCTACCTAAAAAAATGATTAATCTCAAACAATTTAAAGTGAAATAAATGGTGAACTATTAGGTAAGATGAAAAATCCCCATGGGGACAATGTGATTATAACGTCAAAAGCTTGTTGAAAAATTGCTTGCATTTGATTGTTGGCAAAAAAAATCTGTCCCTAAAGGCTTTACATTTCTATAGTGGTAAGCTTGCCGCAGAAGTAATTGCTATGAATGCTTCATGTTCAGAGGAGTTAACCTTGCCTAAAATTCTTCCTTCAGTGACGAAAATGCATTCTTTCATAATTAGAATCAAGAAATCATTTCCAACTTGATACTACTAGTGAAGCTTGGATTTAAAAAAATCAACCATCCATGGGCTCCATGTTTTGAGACTTCCTGGTTTCTGACTGTCACTTATATACTTAGAAATGCAATCTTTCTATCCACCTGCTAATTCCTAACAGGACAGGCATGCTTATTTATTGTTGCATAATATTCAGGTAAAAGCCAGACCTTTCCTTAGCATAGCTTTCTACCATTGTATGTTACCAGGTCATAAAATAGAAAGGAAATATTTTTAAAAAATACATTGATTTGAAAGTAAGAGAATACCTCCATTTGCTGGGTCATTGCCCACGTATTTGGAATGCCAAGTGCTGGGTCAGGGTGAAGCCAGAGCAAAAAATTCAACCCAGGTCTTCCACTTGAGTGGCAGGGAATCAACCACTTGAGCCATTAGGATAGGAATTTAGAAGCTGGAGCAGACCTGGGTATAGAACTTGGCATTACATTATATGATGCAAGTACTAGACCAAATGCCAGCCCCAGGAAGGTTAACGACTTTTTTTAAAAGCCCAAATGATCTCCAAATAGAATAAAGTACAGAACACATTATTACTAAGCATAGAAAATAATCAGTGACAAAAACTCTGAGACTACAGCCCAAATGTTAACAAGGGTTACTTCAATGTGACAGGATCATGCTTGATACTATTTTCTTCACCTAAGTGTTCTTCAGTAGATATCTGTTATTACTACTAAAAAAAAAAATCCCCAAGAAAAATCATCCATAATTATTGATGATTTGAAATAGGAATCAGAATGTAAATAGGCATAACAGGATTATAACATCCACATACAAGCAAATATAAAAGTGCCATATGAAAATGAAAACGAGAATCTGGCATGGTAGCCTAGTGGCTGAAGTCCTCGCCTTGCAAACACAGGGATCCCATATGGCACTGGTTCTAATCCTGGTGGCGCCATTTCCCATCCAGCTTCCTGCTTGTGGCTTGGGAAAGTAGTCAAGGATGGCCCAAAGGTTTGGGACACTGCACCTGCGTGGAGGATCTGGAGGAATCTCCTGGCTCCTGGTTTCAGATTGGTTCTGCTCCAGCTGTTGTGGTCACTTGGGGAGTGAATCAATGGACAGAAGATTTTTCTCTCTGTCTCTCCTCCTCTCTGTATATTTGACTTTCCAATAAAAATAAATCTCTAAAAATAAAGTGAAAACAATTGACAGGTATTCAAAAGATTAGTGCTTTTTCTCCTTCTTAGATAGTGTTATTTGCAGATTGGAAAAGGAGGGATTTCATAGAGAGTCAGAAAACAGTAAAGGCAAGCTATTGGAGAATTGGAACATGGGACACTGAAAGCAGGGGACAGCACAGCCTTCTAGAACATGTACTATCCATAACAACACAAGCAGACAGACTGAGCGAGGGTGTGTAAACTATAAAAGGATTGACAAATACGGTGCTGGAGCCATTTTTCTCTACTGAGAATCAGTGGATGTGTTAACCTGACAACCACTGGAAATGGGGATGATCAGACCCTGTCTGGCACCAAACAAAAAATCCTGTAGGAGGTGTGGACAAGGGAGTTCTGGAGACATGATTCAGAATACCTGAGCTCCAATCTGGAGAGAATCATCATGGTCAAGCCGACTTTATAGCAGGACCAAACCTCAGCTATCCAAAATTCCACGGATGTAAGTTACTTTAGCAAGACAAGTTTTCCTAACGTCTGGAAGTTAAGTCTTTAGTTGTTAAAGACCTTATAAGATGGAAATATTTCCAAAATTTAACTGTTAGAAGAAGACAATAACTTAATTTGCTTGTAATGCCCAGAATCCTCATTATAGATACTGATTATTGCAACATTAAGAAATCAACTGAGTTCTACATGGCTTTTTTCATCCATATGTTTGTATTTAGAAAAAACTGATTTTTTTAAGTTTATTTAATTTTGCGATTTTATTTTTTCTATATATATTAAGGAACAAGTTGGACAAAGCTACATTTCTTTCTTCCTAGTTTTCATCCACAATTCGGGCAGCTGCACCTGGTGGGCAGCTGCAATACGGGTTAGGGAGGGGTTAGCGGATAGGAAAGTCAACTTAAGCTTACTGACTCTAGGCCACCACACTTGCTTACCTTTGGTCATCAGCTCCATTTTGATTGTTGTTCAAGACAATTCTCCAAAGATCTGAAGATACCAGTTTCTTCTGGTCTTTCACCAGATTGATATCCGGTAGTTGCAGTTCACAAACTTTGCTTTCAGATAGGCTAAATTCTCTAAATGTAACAAAAGTCTTCTGGAGTTCATCCCAGTACTCCAAAGTACAAGGAACCTATGTTAAAATAAGATAAGTTTAGAGGTTACAAATAGAAATCACACATCTATAGCTTTTTTTATCCAAAGTATACACGTAGGACTTTTAAAATAAGAAAAGGTCACAAAAGATAGTAGTTTAGACTTTCTTTTCATAGTTACATTTATGCTTATTTAAAAAGATTCATTCAAGATTATACTCACACAAAACAGTAATAGGAACAAACTCTATCAGGTACTATATATATTAAAAAGCTACATTAATTAAATGGTTGTAGTAACACACAGATTAAAAGAGAAATAAAACAGAAAAAGTTTATAAAATGTTAGTATATCATGAAGGTGTCATTTGAAACAGGCAGAAAGAAAATGAGATGGCAAGAGCTGATAACTATCTGAGAAAACTGAAGTGGAATCCCTACACGATTCTTTACAAAAGTGAATTTTAGAAGGACCAAATGTTAAAGGATAAAAAGCAAAAGTAGAGCGGGAAAAAAACAACCTGCTTTTAAAAAAGACTTATTTTAGTAGAAAGTCGGATATGCAGAGATGAGGAGAGACAGAGAGGAAGATCTTTTGTCTGATGATTCACTCCCCAAGTGGCACAATGGCCAGAGCTGAACCAATCCGAAGCCAGGAGCCAGGTGACTCTTCCAGGTCTCCCACATGGGTGCAGGGTCCCAAGGCTTTGGGCCATCCTTGACTACTTTCCCAGGCCACAAGCAAGGAGCTGGATGGGAAGCAGGGTAGCCAGGACATAAACTGGTGCCCATATGAGATCCCAGTGTGTGCAAGGCGAGGACTTTAACTGTTAGGCTACCACGCTGGGCCTTTTTTTCCCCTTAAATTTATATTAGTGAAGCATTTTTCTATGAATGGCATGAAAGTCATTTATGGGTACAGGGCAGGACAGGACTTAAATTTATAAAATCTAATTTTAAAAAGCCTAGTAGAATAAAAGGTTAAAAAATATTTGTTCTGAGTCTATAGAAAATATGCAAACATAAAAATAATAGCAGGTTTGCTCTAACTAGGATGGATGTGACAAACTCCATGCTAACTAAATGTGCCAAACACCTACTTCTTGAAATTCCCTTTTCTTTCTTTCTTTGCATGAAACTTTTCTCTACAATTTCCTTCTGTGTCATTATTCCTCCATCATTTCCCAGCACAAAGCACCTGCACATGCCCCACTCTGTCCCTGACCCATGCCCATCCTTCTCATCTGCTCAAGAACCCAATCAAAAGCTACCTTTCTGGAAGCATTTTCACTTCCTTGGGTAGAATTCTTTCCCTTTGCTGAATAAGTAGGATTTTAAAATGGGAGTCTGTCTTGCAGTTCTTGTCAATGCATACCCAGTTCATAGTATTTTTGTACATGGCATCCTCCCTGGTAGACACATTCCTTGAGGAATGATTTCCATTTGGCTAAGCTTTAGATTTTCATAGCACCTGACACAGTGTTTGCAGCAAATGTTAAAAAAAGACATTGTTGAATGAATGAATTATTCATGAATGAATAGATGTATACATATATACCAGGCGATTTAATCTCTGGCACATTAAAGATTCTCCACAATGATAAAAGCATGAATTGCAGAAGCAGATATTTGAGATTCAAATCCCAGATTTGTAAGTTACAAGTTCTTAGGGGAAATTAAAGGAGATAGGAAAACAACCCTAAGGAATTTTGGTAAGGATTCCATGAGACACAATTTTAATGAATGCATATTGTAAGTGCTTAAGAAATGTCATTAAGTTCTACTGAAAGAACACTTATGAAGTGTGTACATCAACAGAATCCTGTAAGCTGTAAGAGTGGTACTGGCTCTTCAGAAGAGACTGGACTCGTGGGATGAAAAGAATGAACCTTGACACAGCATACTCATGAATGTTGTAGCCATGGTCCATTCAACATAACTTTTCTGTAACCCTGTCACACAGCAGCGCTATGACTTAAGAGTTGTAGGGAGATGTCATTGCTTAACTCCCCTTCTGAACTGGCACCTCAGATGCTTCTGATCAATGGTAGAAGAGAAGTGGGATGCCGGGCATAAATTCCCAAAAAGCACCAAAGAATTCAGTGGAACTGAGCAAACAAGTTCAAAACACTCTAATTTATACACCTGTTGTTTTCTTGAAACCTAAATAACAATGTCAAGTTCAATATAATACTTGCTTCTGTCAATACCTAACAAAGTTCTACACTAAAATCAATTTATTACAGCTTATAAAACTAACTGACACATTGCAAAAAGTATGACCTGAAGGAAAATATGGTAGTTAATTTTCATCTCCAAGGCAAAGGCTGGAATGGGTCCACAACACAAGGTCAGACAAACTGGGAATCACTGTGAAAAGTCATTACTCAGTCTAAGGACAATGACAACCGATTGTAGCAAAACTGGGGCTTTGAGACAGAGGAATTGTGGGACTTCAAAAGAGTTGTGGAAGGAAGTAAAAAAGTCCATTTAGCTCACAACTTGTGTGAGGTCAGCTCTCAATTCGAATATTCTAATTTACTCTGAATATTCAGTAAATACAAAACTACTGAAGATGTATATTCTCAAATAGGTCAGTTACGTGCTAGTTAGGACTTCCTTTATAGGCCATATTTTCCTCGACTGACAAAGGGATATTAATTCACACCCAAGCTCTGTTGAAAAAAAAAATCACTTATAGTCCTGTAAAGTGCACACAAAAGTTACATTATTCTTTTTTCCCATTTTAAGGATACATTTGTTTTCAACATTTCAAAACAAAAGAAATGACAAAGTATATGATTACTTTAAAGGTTATTTCATTTCAATATGCCATTCATATGTATACTGTCATAAATTTATAAAAGAAAAGCCCAAAGGCTCCTAGGCCCTAATCTCTGTGCTGCCATGGGAGTCAGGCACAGCTGTGGACTCCCTGCCACCCTGGCGAAGCTGTGCACCATAAGCAAGGTTGGCAGCCCTTGGGAATCCCAAGATGACTCAGTAATAAAGTATCTCTGGTTAAAAAATTAAACAATAAAAAAGAAAAACTACATTATCTTCACATTATTTTTTAATGCTGAAAATATTCATTGGTGTCACACTTAATACAAATATGTGGTCCTGTCCCCTTAGCCACCATCTGTGACTTTGGGAAACTTAACTGAGGATCCTGAGTCTTGGTTATTTTATATCTATAAATTGAAAGTAATAAAAAACCTTTACTGTTTTTGGAGCAAGTTAAGGTTTTTGGACTTTATCACAATGTCAATGGTACTTCATGTTTTAAACAAAGAAGTTATGCAGTCATATTTGTATTTTTGATAAGTTTTAGTTATTACATAATACAATAGAAGGAGGCAAACATGAGCATATTAAAATCAGTCAGGAAGTCTAGGGTAAAAATATTGATAGCTTAAGTCCTGGAAAAGCATAAAAGATTCCTGAGGCATTAAACTTTCTAAGTATTACTGATGACTTAGACATAATTTAATGAGAGGGAAGTATTAAGAGTAACTCCCAGGTTGCCGGCCTGAGCAACTATATGGATGCTCAATCGGGGAAGATGGCTTCATCTCTTTAGGAGTAGATGGACTGAAAATGTAGGGCACAAAAGGAGCTCATTTTCACCCCAGTGAGCCATTCCGGTGGAAACACTGAATACAGAGTTGATTATTCTGGAGAACAGAAGATATCAACTTGATGGAATATGGCTACAGGTTCATTGAGCATCAGACTTCTCTCAGGAGTATGAAATGGAAGGACAAAGAGTACTGAAGTTTAGGATATTTATCTGCAAGAGGATGATTTAAACGATGCACAAGCAATGTAAACTTGCTAAAAGATGATGTGCAAATAGCTGATGGTTAGGGACAAATCAGAGATCTAGACATAGGTTTACATATAGCTTATGACTGTAGCAAGGGTTGATGAATGAGCAGGCTGGAGAGTTATGGGAGAGTGGTGGAGAGCAGGATGCTGATGTTGATGCCGCAGGAGGCAAAGACATTTGCAGTGATGGCAAGCAGTTACCAAAGGGACTGAAGGAGACAACCACTGGAGAGATGAGACCAAGTAGGGATCGAGTTGAGTCACTTGCAAGGATGTTGCTGACAATGAAGAAGGTTGAAAGGCAAGGGCCCAGGAATTGAGAGAGAGAGAGAAACTAAAAATGTTAGTGCACAGCAACAAGAAAGAGGGGTGAGAATGATGCAAGTCTTAAAGGAGCAGAGGGATTTGACAGGAAGATGAAAGAACAAAACAAGTGACACTGAGAGCAAGAACACCTTATGTCCTAGACCCAAAGTAAAAAGAAGGAGAAAAAAAATAAAAAACAAAAACTACAGCCTCTGCTTCAGGTGGCTGCAGTGGTCAACAGGGTTCCAGGGGACAGCGGGATTTTATGTAAATAATGGGCCAAAGGCAGGCTTAAAGCAGACTTTGAGATTTAGGGTCTGCTCAACTTGTAATAGGAGTTACAGAGAGTGAAGGAGGCAGACGAAGAGGGGAAATTGGTAAGATGGGGAAAAGGGGACACAAATCTATGTCTAGATAGGAAAGGATATATCTGACAGTCTGAAGGGTATCCTCATTTAGGAGGAATGGAGACAAGGACTATGGGTCTGAAAGTAGCCAGTGACTATGTCTTACAGCCTAGTTTGGACTGCCATGAGATCTCAGACCAGTATTAATAGCTTATTAAGGGTTTTAAAATTAATGAACGGAGACACAACACTTGCTGAGAAGATGACAACATTAATTTCTTCAGCAGTCTTATTCTAAAAATGTCTTACTTTATGAAGTGGTGTCACCGAATTATTTTGCAAGCATACTCATTTTTTACAAACTTTGCATTTGCTCACTAATTTTCTTTTGTAGTTCAGTTAAGATGTTGATACTGCCCCACCAGTCTCTAGGTTAGTAGTGACATAATTCAAACAAAACAAAAAAATCTAATGTGGTCATATTGTATTTACAGCTTCATATGGTAGCAATTAATTATTCTCGAGGAATAACTCTGGCCTCCATTTTGTGTGAT